AAAAAAAAAAAAAAAAAAAAAAAAAAGACCTTTTTACTCTCTCTTAGATCCAGCAGCCCATGGCAAAGAGCGTTTTACTGCGATTTAAGGCAACTCTTGGCACGAATCCGTAAAAATCCCCCAAATCTGGGTCAGTGAGCGGAGCTGGGAAGGGTCAAGCAGCATTTCACTGGAACCAGGACTTGTTGGGAGGAGAAACGGAGCCCAGCACTGCTCACACTGTGTAACAGCTCCTGTACTGAGGAGAAATGACAGCCAGCAAAGGAGCAGGACGGGGATGTGAGAGGGATCTTCCCAGGGCTGATTGTGCCTGGATTGCCCTGGGTGGGGGACGCTGAGAGTGAGCACTCGGTGACCTACTGCTCCACTTCCTCATCTCAGGCTTCTCTCAGCCCTGGCCCTTCCCTCCAGTTTGATGGTTCTCCTACTGGAAGGTGGAAAACAGAGGGATGGGCTCTGTGCTTGGAGAATGACCCTTTCAATAGCAGCTAACTCGTCTGGCTCCTGGTGGGGCAAGAAAGGAAGCCCGAAGCGAAACGACACTGGAGGGATAAAGAGATCAGGTCGTGCTTCCAGAGTTCAGCAATATCCACTGCAAGCAGGGAAGTCCTTTAGGTGATCCTGATCCACAAAGAAAATCTGGATTCTTGTGGATGAGCTAAACCCTGGGTGGAGGAAGAGCTGTAGCAGCAGCACAGCCCTCCAGGACTTGGAGGATGGAGATCCTCTAAGCCAAAATATGTCCATTTTCAGGTCCCCACCACGCAAAGCAGACCAATCTGTTACCTCCTTTTCTATTTTTTGAGGGTGGGGGGAAGAGGAAAAGAGGAAAAGATTGGCATCTGTTCAGAAAGGGGGGAAAAATGCAAAATAATGCTGGGCAGAGACACCACTGCAACAAAACGAGAGGAGGGGAAACATCTACGAGGCAGGAAAGCAAAACCTACAGGTGCAGAGAGCTGCTCCTGCACTTGTATCCCTCGGGAAGAGGCTTCCCTGGGAAGCTGCTCCTCCCTGGGCAGCCCCAGGGCTGCGTCCAGCAAAGGCAAAGCAGGCCCTCTTAGAGAGCCCTGGGTGCAGGGGAACGAGAGCTGCTGCTCCACGCACACCAGAAGCTCCTCCACAGCCTTTTTGGGGTGGGGTTTTGGGGTGGCTGCACCCCCTGGCTCTGCCACTGCCAACTCCCCATCCCCTTCTGAGCTGGGGACACGGCTGAGAGTGTGTGTTGTGAGTGGGAAGGCACGTCTGGAGCGGGTGGGAGGGGTGGGAGCCAGAAGTTGTGCTCCTGGCTTTGCAGGGCGGCGCCGGGGGGAGGGAAAGGGGGGGGGGGGGATTTGGTTTTCCAGGGAAGCAGGAGGAGGTGCTGCCCACCCCCGGCACTGTGAGAGGCTTCTCTCAGCTTTGCTGCTGGAGGGAGAGCCCCGAGGGCCAAGCCAGCGACAGCCCCCCATGCAGACATGCACAGCTGTGGCACCAACGTGTCCTTAACCCTTTCAATGGGGATGCTCGTGCCCCACAGCCCTGGCACAGCCCTGGCACAGCCACGGGGAGCTGAGTGGTGCCTGAGCACTAGGAAACCCCCAGGGCTGGCAGCTGCTCCAGCAGCGACCTGAGGGGGGAGATAAAAATGCAGTTCAGGTCCCACGGGGCAGGGCACAGGTGCTGGGTGGGCACCAGCGAGTCAGGGCTGGAAATACTCTGCATTTGGCAGGGGGGGAGATGGAGAGGCTTAAAAAGGGAGAGGGGCTTTTTGCAGAGCTGGGATTAAAAAGCTCTTTATCTGGGAGAAAACCCCTCTTTAACAGAGGAAAAAGCCACTCTTTAACAGAGCAAAACCCCCTCTTTAATAGGGAAAAAAAACCTCTTTAATGGGCAACTTGGCTCTCCTTTGGGCTTGTTCAGTGTGTGGCCACTGCAGTGAGTGGTGGCTTTGGCCATCATTAGGCATCTGGGAGCTTTCAAGCCCCACTCAGGGACATTTTGATCTTTGCAGGCCCCGCTGTGGAGCCTGCCCTTGTCCCTTCTGCCTGTGGGGGCTTTGTTTTCACCTGCCATCGCTCTGAATGCCCAATTTGGGCCCCCTCGGGGCTCTGCTTTGCCATTGAAAGGGTTAACGGAGCTCATGCTTAATCAGCAGCACAGAAAGCACCTTTTTGCCCCATGCCTGTTACCTCCAAATACGGTACCTGGGGTTGGTGTGGCTTCGAGGGCAGCGCCAAGGGTAGAGAGGGGGGGTACGGAGAGAGCACGGCAGAGAAGGGGAGAGAAAACACAGGAATGCATAAAACAACCAGAGCACACCGACAGGACACTGGGGACCACCTGCACACCGCCACCAGAGAGCTGAGAGAGAGGGCACGACGGGACCACGACCTGGCACCCTCCCTGTGAGTAGGGACGGCCCCTTGGACACCACGGATAAACCACACCAGTAACACACAACCCGGCCCCAGCACCCACCAGCTCCTCAGCAGAGGTGCCAGTGGGGTCCCTAGGCCAGGTGCTCAGGTCTAATGCCAGCTGTGACACTGAGTTTCCCCCTGATCTCCCCCCCAGTGTCGCTCTCGTGTCCTGTCCTGCCTCGTGGGGGTGTTTGGTCTAAACCCCCCCGGTGAAGGAGCCTGGCAGGCAGAAAACAGCCTCTGAAAGCATTCATGGGTTTAATTTTCTTAATCTGCTTATTTTCTTCAGATTCCAACCTCATTTTTTTTTTTGGTGTGGCTTTGCAGCAGGTACCTTCCCACCAAGGTGCCCACCTGCCTGGCATGGGCAGAACTCACTGATACAAATCAGTTAAGTTTGGCACTCCAGGAGTTGGTTGTGGCTGTTATTTCACTGTTCACTGCCAACAGTGCCCAGAAACGAACCCAGGAAGGCAAATGTATGGGAAACAACTAGAAATATTGACTATCAAGCTCAATCCAACTCCTGCCCTCTAATAGCTCAGCAAAGCTCCTCTTTAAGGCCCCTCTCATGATTGCCACGGTGTAACTTGGCTGCTTTCCCTCCACCCCCAGCCCCATCTCCCATCCTGCTGCATCAATTAGTGCCACTGGAACCCACCTAAGAGGTGTTGGGAAGCATTTCATTTCCACTGGGTCAGAGCAGGAATTACTTTTCCTACTCAGAGCCATTAGCTGGGGAGGGGGAGAT